CTAAATTATGGATTTACTCTACACCTAATTACGTGTAAACTTGTCCTGTGCATAACATTTGTTTTTGAAATTAGTGTTCCCTAACTTTCTGTAATCATTATATTTTTTTGGTCAGTAAAATGACTACAACTAAATCCAAATATTAAACCTATCTGATTGTTTTACTTTTTTTTTTTCTGCCAACGACTACTTTCTTCAAAACCACAGCTAATACTTTGAAAGTGTCGAAAATTGCCGAAAACAAATCTACTTTCAATGATCTCTGCCAATTATTAAGGAAATTTCTGTAGAAACCTGGAGTTTGTAACCTTAATTAGGAGAGAAATATAAGGAAAAATGTACATTTTCACCCCATAATGTTTATTACACATAAGACTATACATATCGCATAAGACAATAATCAACATTTATGAACAAAAAATGGTAAAATATTTGGGTCACTATTATTTGTCCATCTTTCATTATCATTAGCTCATAATTACCCTCAGATTGATCTAAAACTTTCTGATAATGATATTAAAAAGCGGAGGCTCGTATACGATACTTCCCTGCGACTAACGCACTGACCTTATTGCTATTTTGCAGTATTGACAGAGACAATTAATTAAGAAGTAGCAGATGGTAAAATGGCCATTAGATCATAATTAAAGAAAGTTAGCATTATGGCACAGTAAGCTAATATTTGTAACAGCATTCTGCAGAAAAGAATGTCATCACAAGGCCACCCAAACAAACAATTATATGAAGGAGATCAAATATTTGTTTGAAAAATATGTAAAGAAAAAAAAGAGAAAGAAAAGCAAGGTTTATCTACAACTGCGCAAATAAAAGTAAAACAAAAAACTTAAATACCATTAAAACCAGACAGCTTAGTACAAAAGATAACATAATGCGAATCAATGTTAAATGGTTGTAGATAAAAATAATTAATAGCTTCTTTAAACATGTATTATCTATACAGTCATGAATTGAGCAAAGAGAATACAATAGGGGAGCGATTACATTGACAGCTTTTTAACATAAGAAGTATCATATCTGATCAGTAACTATGAAAGCCAGAGCTAGGGCCATGTCCTGGAGCTTCTCTGAATAGGTGCACGTGAGACGAGCTCCGCTTACGTTGTAGGCCTGAAGAAACTTTGCCGGTAGCCTACTGAGGCCAACCAGCTGTTGACTGGCCAGAGAGCTCGCACTACACCCACCAAGAGCCAGTGGCGGATCCAGAGCCTTATCTCGGGAGGGGCACTTGTAGATTATTTAAATAAATAATCCAGACACAATAACCACTACAGCTCAGTGTAGTGGTTATGGTGTCAATAGTGCCGGCACCCCCTCCCAGAGTAAGTAGTCAAACCGTTTAAGAACAGTTTGACACCTTACCTGAGGTCTGCAGGGAAATGGGGCAGTAGTAAGGCATAGGAGCAGTGGTGTTTGTGAGTGGTGCAATGTGTAAGGGGAGCAGTGTGTGTGTGTGTGTGTGTGTGTGTGTGTGTGTGTGTGTGAGGGGGACAGTGTGTGAGCAGTGTGTGTGTGTGAAGGTTGTAGTGTGTGTGAGGGCGGCAGTGTATGTGTGTAACAGTTGCAGTGTGTGTGTGTGAGTATTGCAGTGTATGTGTGTGTATGGGGCATCAGTGTGTGTGTATGGGGAGCAGTGTGTGTGTATGGGGGCAGTGTGTGTGTATGGGGGGCAGTGTGTGTGTGTATCAGGTAGTGTATGTGTGCACAGTGTGTGTATGGGGGGCAGTGTGCAGTGTGTGTGTGTGTGATGGGGGGCAGTGTGTGTGTATGGGGCGGCAGTGTGTGTGTATGGGGAGCAGTGTGTGTGTATCGGGTAGTGTATGTGTGTAGAGTGTGTGTATGGGGGGCAGTGTGTGTGTATGGGGGGCAGTGTGTGTGTATGGGGAGCAGTGTATGTGTGTAGAGTGTGTGTATGGGGAGCAGTGTGTGTATGGGGGGGCAGTGTGTGTGTATGGGTGTAGAGTGTGGACCCGGAGGAGCTGCAGCCTTAGCTTCCGGGTCCTCTCTCTCATGCCCTCCCTCCCCCGCCGGCCGCCAGCACAGTGCCTATGGACCGGGGAGGGTGATCTCTGCTGCTGACAGGGGAGGAAGAGGGAGACCGGCGGATTTCTCGCGGGGGGGGGGCAATTTCCCCGTTGCCCCCCCCCCCTGGATCTGCCACTGCCAAGAGCGAGACAGTACTCCACAGATCTCAGAAGGGAATAGTGACTCTTTCCTCCAAATGAGGAAACTCAAGAAGCACACCATAAGTGGGCTGTGCAGAGGCTAGAGAGAGCTGTGGATGAACTCTGTGTGGCCCATAATGAAATAGTGGAGAAACTAATGGCTTTGGAAGCGGATCAGAAGCGCATCCTGTAGAGAATGGCAAATTCCGAGGACCACCTGCGCCGCAACAACTTCAGAGTAAGAGGTATCCTGGAACATATGGCAGTCGAGGCCCTACCTGCTCTACCTCTTCAAGGCCATACTGCCAACTAAGCCAGAATAATATTGGCTCATAGACAGAGCCCATCGAGTCCCAAAACCCAAGGGCCGCTATATTGCAACTTCATTACTTCACTGCAAAGGAAGTCCTCAGGTCTTCCTCAAGGATGCTCAGAAATCTACCTGACCCATTCAATAGGCTGGCTGCCTTTACTGACCTCTCTTCTGCCACAATGCCACCCATATCTGCCACAACACCTTAAAAAAGACTAAATACTGTACCGATAGGGTTTCTCCACCAAGCTAATTATCTAGTACATTGGGTTCTGCAATAGTAGTGAACACCCCTAAGGGTCAATGACTACCGAAAACATGGAGCATCTCATCTTTTCCAAAAGGTGTCATCCCCCCTTCCCAAGGTCCTCCCGATTTGGAAGCGGGATTCTGCAGATGGACGGATGTTGTACCGCTTTGGAATAGGTGACCTCTACCCTACAATGGAATGTATAGCTTGCACAAATAACACCTTTTAGGAATCCTATCCTTTATTTTGTATTCTATGAGTATGCCAAGCCAACCATTTCCCAGCAAACCACCACACACACAAAAAAAAAAAAACCTCTGCGGTAACTGCAAAAGTAAAAAAAATAAAAAAAATAATACAAAGCACACCTCCGTCCTTTGCTATGTTTGGTGGGACATGTTGATCCCTAGAAAGAAATTGCTGTATGATCTGTGTTCACATCAGTTTATCATTGCTAGGCCAGCACAAATGTAAGATGTATTGGTCTCAGATTCTTACACAACAGGCTGAAGTTAGGCCTCATGTTGTTGTCCAGGCTTCTTGCATCCAATCATTCTCCACCCCAATGTGAGCACAGACATATAACCATCCAAATCATTACTCTATATGCACTCATACACAGCTCACACAAGTTTAGTTCAACTAACTTCATGTGTTTTACTATTTATTACACATAATTTTATAATTCCTACAATGCATTTTATTGTTTTTTCCCATTTTCTCACTCTCCTTCTTTGTCCCTCTCCTGCATCCAACACCATGGCATTTCAAGGAAGAACCAAGTCAACACTGCAATGCTTAAACCACTCAAACTCAACACAAACTGGACCCCAGATGCCAAGACAAGTAAGTCCCATACTCCCACACCATGGCTTTAACCCTCTTAACTACTCCATCAACAGAAGAATGGTCTTCACAGAAGCTAAAAAAAAGTTGACCCTCTGCCAGAACACATTCGCTAGGCACCCAACTAAGAGTCATCATGTCAAAATCCAGGCTCTACGATACCTGGAGAGTACTCAGTCCTCAACAGTGAGAATTCACTTTCTTCTCCTAGGTACCCCAAAAATACTCCAGGATCGACCTTTGCCCTATGGATTCTGTGACCTTACCATCCATACTTTCAGCCAATCTAGGCTCCACCAGCTTGTCAGACCAAACACCAGTAATGATAACCATATCATCCACAAACCCCACAAGAGGATGTAGTTCTTGGAGGATGAACATCACTATTCTGAATGATAAACAGTAATCGAAGTTCAGGTTCTAGCCCTTAGTTTTGGCAAACATGGTGACAGTGGGACAACTACAACCGACAGCAACCTCTACCAGATGGTGAACTAATCACGGATGTCCCTCCCTCCCGCCTGCCCTCCTTGAGTTTACTGTGTTTTTAAAGAAATTACATATCATATTGTTACATATGGTACACCCAAGTATGCTTAGACAACCTTGCTTAAGGCTGTTATTTTTTTTATTATTATTATGATATTTATATAGCGCCATCATATTCCGCAGCCCTTTACAATGGGTGGACGAACAGACATGTAGTTGTAACCAGACAAGTTGGACACACAGGAACAGAGGGGTTGAGGGCCCTGCTCAATGAGCTTAAATGCTAGAGGGAGTGAGGTAAAATGACACAAAAGGTAAGGATAGTATTAGACTAGTGACAGTTGCAGAAGAGGAATCAGTCAGGAGCTATTAACAGTTTAATTGATACGCTTTTACGAAGAAGTGGGTTTTTAACGATTTTTTGAAGGAGTGGAGACTGGGTGAGCATCTAACGGAGGAGGGAAGCGAGTTCCACAGGAACGGTGCAGCCCTCGAGAAATCTTGAAGGTGAGCATCAGAGGTGGGAGTACAGACAGAAGATAGACGTAAGTCTTCAGCAGATCGTAAGGGCCTAGATGGGACATACTTGTGTATAAGGTAGGATAGATATGTGGGACCAGCATTATGTAGAGATTTGAAAGCAAGAACCAGAATTTTAAATTGAGCTCTATATTTTATAGGAAGCCAATGTAGGGACTGACAGAAGGGTGAGGCATGGGAGGTGTGGGCGGACAGGAAGATGAGCCTCGCCACCGCCTTCATTATGGACTGTAACAGCGCAAATTGAGAGCACGTAAGACCACTGAGAAGTGGATTAAAGTAGTCAAGGCGAGAAAGGACAGTGGAATGGACCAACACCATAGTTGCATCTGGAGTTAAGTAGGTGCGGATGCACGCAATGTTTTTGAGATGGAAATGACAGGATTTGGCGATAGATTGAACATGAGGCTTGAAGGAGAGGACGGAGTCAAAGAGAACACCTAGGCAGCGAGCCTGCGTGGTGGAGCTGATGGTAGCACCGTTGACTTGGAGGGAGACAGACACAGGAGTAACAACACTTGAGGGAGGAAAGACCAGAATTTCAGTTTTGGTCAAATTTAGTTTAAGGAAGTGGGCAGCCATCCAGTTAGAAACAGCAGAGAGGCAGTCAGAGACACTAGTCAAGAGGGACGGGAAGAGATCAGGAGAGGACAGGTAGATTTGCGTGTCATCTGCATAGAAATTATATTGGAAGCCAAAGGAGCTAATGAGTTTACCAAGGGAGGCAGTATAGATGGAGAATAGTAGGGGACCAAGGACTGAACCTTGGGGGAAACCAACAGAGAGGAGTTGGGGAGAAGAAGCAGAGCCAGAGAAAGAAACACTGAAAGAGCGCTGGGAGAGGTAGGAGGAGCACCAGGAGAGAGCAATATCTTGTAGACCGATATTGTGGAGGATGAGAAGAAGCTGTTGATGATCAACAGTGTCAAAAGCCGCAGATAGGTCAAGGAGAATTAGGATAGAGTAGTGACCACGAGATTTTGCAGCGAGTAGATCATTGGATACTTTGGTCAGTGCCGTTTCCACAGAGTGCTTAGCGCGGAAACCAGACTGAAGTGGGTCTAGCAGAGAGTTGAACTCAAGGAAGTCTGTTAATCTCTCATACACAATTCTTTCAAGGATCTTGGATGCAAAAGGCAGTACCGAGATAAGACGATAGTTGGATGGGGAGTTAGGGTCAAGATTGGGCTTCTTTAGAATTGGGGTTACAGTTGCATGTTTGAAGGGCGATGGAAATATACCAGAGGAGAGAGAGAGATTGCGAATTTTAGAGAGGTGGAGAAAGAGAAGAAGACAGAGTACGGATGAGATGCGAGGGAATTGGATCTAGGGAGCAGGTGGTGGGGTGGGAGGACTAGAGCAGAGTAAAAACCTCTTCCAATGTAGCGAGTGCGAATGAACATCAGAAGCAGTGAAGTTAGGGGAAGTATTGTAAGGGGAAGAAGAAAGAAGAGAGATCTCTTCTCTGATTGTAAAGATCTTCTACCTGTATCGGAGCACTGATATATACATTGTTCTCTGTTTTACCTGACACACCACAAAATTAACCACATTGCTATGTAACCAATAAAATGTAACAAAAAATATACATCAGACAAAAAAAAGGTCAGAGCTAAGCAAGAATGATTGGATATCTTGAATTATCTGTTAAAACATATGTATATTTCTTGCAACTTGAAGGTCTGTTCAAATAATGTTTTTTTATTTATTTTTTATTATTTATTTATACAGTGCTAACATGTTCGAAAAAGGTGCATTATACCATTTAGATTGTAAGCTCCCGCGTCTACGGCTGTTTTCTTAAACATATTGGGGATGATTTATCACAATGTTTCAAAAATGTTTTAATGGAAAGTTTTTATTGTATTAAGTCATTTAAATTAGCCTGAAAATGGTCACCTTCTTTTATCATTGCTTGTCTTGCCCTATTAACTATGTCTACTGTGCGAATATCCGACATGTTTTCTATACCAAAAATAAAGTGAGAGAATGCTAGAAAATATAATATGTTTACCGTTCAAACGGCAAGCACATTAATATATAGACTTACACTACATACAACCGTATGCAAAAGAAAACAAATTAAGGAAAAGTTGCAAAAGTTATTGATAATTGATAATTCAAAACAGAAAAAAAAAAACTTGGAAAAGGCTTATGTTATTAAGTAACTCTTTTATAAACCTCCCCCATTGTATTCATTCAAATTGCCCTGCCATGGCTGTAGAATATTACTTGTGTCCCAGAACGTAGAGGTTGGATCACAACACAGCTCGTTGTGTTGAGTTGAAAATTAGCAACATTTCAGATGAAATATTCAGATTCCCAAAAAAAGGTTAAAATCTTCAAAGTTAGAGATAGGTTTCAACCTAATTATTTTACAAATAACAGCACTTTTTATTATGAATATGACATATTTTTATATATGCCCCACCTTCCCCCAATATTTCTGTGCCCCAGTGAGTTGGGGTTATTAACACATTTGATGGCTAGAATCTTTAGCATTATGGGATGTGTCGGGTAAGTTATGTTATGATAATTAACTAGTATTTATATAACGCCAACACCAGGTATCCACAGAGCAAGGTGCTTTCTGACGGACTCCGTGAAGGTATTCATCAACCCAACATTGAGATGCACATCAGAAAAAAACAGACTGCATCAAAGAACAATTACTAAATAATCTTACACATATATATATATATACACACACAATATTATATATAAACATAATGAGATATAACAATAATAAAGAGTCCTAACAGAAATAGTCTTTTTTGGAGATAAGAACCTTTTGGACGATCGTGCTTTGTTGGAGGTCAGCCTGTTATCCTCCTTAGTGTTCAAGTAGACAAACCTGTAGCGCAGATGAGGAATTCTGTACCTTTTCTCCTTGTAGTTTATTGGATTCCAGATCCTGGTGAGAAAATTTCTGTGGATTTATTTATATATACATCAGTGATTACTTTTTGATGAGGATATTCAAAGGAACACTTCAAGCACCATAACCACTACAGCGTGCCCTCCGCCTGTAAGGAGTCAAACCATTTTAGAACAGTTTGACTTCTTAGTGGGGGTTTTTCTGGGCACCGCTCTGTGGATCCGCTACTTTTAGAAACCACAGTAAGACATTGACAGACAAAAATATTGACGACAGACACAAATGATGAAGAAAGACTGTCTCAAACTAGATTAAACCTAGAGGTTCACTTAGGACCGTGACACTTCATGCTCTGGTCTTGCTATAGTTGGACTATGTATCTACCACCCTGCCAACAAACTATACGATGTTTTGTGTATTTATAACATTCTCCACCCTGTCATTCTTACCCTCCAAGACATGATATTGTTATTATTTATAAAGCGTCCACAAATTCCGAAGTGCTGTACAATGGCTGGACTAACAAATACATACTTGTAACAAGACGTTACAGAGTTAGACACACAATGAGCTTGCCTGCAGAGGGAGTGGGGTATAGTGACAAAAAAGGTAAGGGTAGGATAGAAAAGTAGGTTGGTAGAATAGTATTCACTGAGGACTTAGTGTTTTGTTTTGATGACAGTTGCAGGAGAGGAATCGGGGTGCGGGGAGAGAAAGCTGTTCACAGTTTAATTGATATGTTTTTCTTAAGAAGTAAGTTATCAAAGATTTTTTGAAGGAGAGGCCCTGGGGAGTCAGCATAGCTAAACGGACAAGGGCACATGTATGAGTGTGGGGATGGTGCTAGTGATTGGATATATGTGTTTAGGGGAGTGGTTATTGGTTTGTAGTGGGGCAGGGATCATCTTACCTCAGTGCCTTTTGGGATTTTGGCCAGCAAACAACTCCCCTCTACAGCCCCTGTAGGCCGCAAGAGCATGGGCCGGAGCTCAGCTGACCCCTGATCCTTCAGGCCTGAGGCACCACCAGGCCCACGTGTCAGCTCCATCTGCTCCATCTGCTCCATCTGACATGCGACCTGCTACTACTGCCGCCCCCCGCGCACCCCCGGCCTTGGACAGCGGGCCAGGGGTGCCAGAAGATCTACACTGCATCCTGGGGGGTCTGGGAGGCCTTCCCAGCCCTCACGTGGTCAGCGCACGGCGGATCCAGAGCCGGGCCGGTAATGGTGAGTGGGCCCCTCAGGGCCACGCGGGTCATGGCTGTGCTGCCGCTGGGGGGTGGAGGGGGGTCCTCCCCGGGCTCTGATGGCTACTCTGGGGATGAGGGTCGGCCGGGGGGTCCCCCTCTCCCCCGGGTTCTGTCAGCAGTTTCCCCCCCCTCCTCCCCTCCCTGTGGTGCCATCCCTTGATCCCTCTTCCTCTGGAGTCCCCTCTCCCTTGGTTTCCCTGTTCTGCTGTCCTGGCTCTCTCTGCTCCCCCTCCTGGTTCTCTCTCTATCTCCCTCCTTCCCCCTCCCCTGTTCCTGCTGTGCTGGGTGTCCTTCCTCTCTCTAAGCCCTCTCCTGGCTCTCTCTGTCTCCCTCCCTCCCCCCCTCTCTCTCCTGTCCCTATTCCTGGTCCCTATGTCCCCCCTGCCCTCCCCCTGGGTACTTACTTCGGCTGCCCTCCTCTGCGGGTGTGAGCTCCTCTCCACGGCTCTTCACACAGGATCTGGCTGCAGTTCCTGTGACCGGCCAGCAGATGGCGCCTGGTGCTGCTGCTGGGCTGAGCAGTGCTGAAAATGAAGTTAACTCTGTCCTGCCTGGATCATCTTCATTTCCTTTGCTGCGGGAGGTTCCTCGGGCATCGGCTGGTGAGTTCACTAATGTTTCTTCTTTTCAGTCCAGGGGTTCCTCGCTGGGGGGTTTTCTTGATCAGTCAAAAAAAAAATATAAAAAAATATAAAATAAATAAATAAAATAAAGGGAGCAGGGTGCGCAAGCAGGTAGGGTCCCCCCATTAGATGGTCAGCTCCGGTTAGTGTGGTCCCCGGCGCTGCAGCCACAGGGTTTTTTTGTCTGTTTTTGGGGTCACGCTGTTACCCTCTCCTGGAGTGGGTGTGCATGCTGGCACCCCTGCTACGGCGTCGGGTGCCGCGGCACCTGCTGCTGCTAGGGTGTCCCTAGCATTAGGTGACCCCCCAGGTTTGCCGTTTTGCGTGGGTCCGCCTATGTGTTGGTCAGGGCCCTTGGGCTTGCACCTTCATCAGGAGGTTCGTAAAAAATTTGGAGTGGAGACTTTGTTGAGATTTTTCCCTCCTTCCCATGGAGGAGGCTCCTCCTTTAATGGAAAAGGATGGGTAGGAATCAAAAAAAAAAAGACAAGGAGAAATACCAGTACCGGAAGATCCCTATGACTTGCGCAAATTGGATTTGCGCGTTTGCAATCCTGGCCAGTGTAACTGGGGAAAGGGCTCCGCATTGCTCTGCTACCAGGATACCATTTGGAACGCTTGTCGTACCTATGGCAGTCTGGGATGGTGGAAATATGACGAGCAGTTCTGTCAACAGTTGGCGGGGGGGTCCTCCTCCTCACCGGTCGCGCATCGGAGGCCGGGCTGTTGTTGAAATTCAACGACAGTCACTGCAAATGGGGGGCATCTTGCTCTTTCCAGCACAAATGTTCTACTTGGGGATTTGGGGTCAGAGGCCGATGATGCCAGTGGTCATG